AGACAGACAGAGACAGAGACGACGGAGAGACGACGGAGAGACGACAGAGAGACGACGGAGAGACAGAGACAGACAGAGAGACAGACAGAGAGACAGACAGAGAGACAGACAGAGAGACAGACAGAGAGACACACGGAGAGACATCCAGACAGAGACGGAGACAGACAGACACATCGACACCTGCATTCAGAGAGAGCGGCACCGAAGCTCGTGCTCCCAAGATCTTGACGCGTTTCCTGTTGAAAGTGTCTTGGGCTCGAAGCGGGTAGCTTCTTTTCTGCCCATCCTCCAGTCCCTATGGACGTTCCAGTCCCAGGCGTCCTAGTACCGAACGTTTTGCCACGTGGTAGTAGCATAGCCTCGAGTTTCACACAGTGAGTCTACGTTGGATCTCGATCCTCTTTTACGCCAGTGTAGATTGTTTACCCGGGTGGGTGGCCGGGGCGGGGCAAGTTGTCTCACGCCGTATCTCGATCCATCCGAAAGCAGCTGGACTTGATTTGGACCCCACCTCTTACCGCTTGGTATCAAAAAGAGTGCCTTGCACTGCGGTCTCTCGTAGGAGATTAAGCTTGCGATGAAGTCCACAATGGTTTGAATTACAGCATCGCTGACTTATGGAACTCCAGACACCCACCACAAAACTCGCAGCTCCAGATCAGAACCATGCGCTGCGAAGGTTTGAGCGGTACACCCGCGTGACATGTCGCTGGTTGACTCCGTCACGGAAACTCACCGCAAAAACACCATGAGAAACTCTACTCTACCAGTGCATAGCAAACAGGATTTGGCTTCGTCGTCACGGTGGTCCCCTTCGTGGTGCTCGCCGTGTTCTTCGTGGTCGTGATCTTTCGCAGTTTGCGGTCAGGACTGGATTTACATTTGCGAGCGAATAACCTCCTTCACCAAAGCTATGCATCGATGAAGTGATGAAGCATGCGTCGATGAAGCGATGAAGTAATGCCTTGCTCTTTTCCGGCGCAAACAACCCCACTCCGATCAAAGTTGTGTCGCGGGGATCTTGGGAACTGGCTTGTGATGCCCTTCGGACATGACCAGTTTGCAAACACAGCCTACCTAGATACCGTAGAATCTACAGTAGATCATACGAAATCCCCCCCATTTCTCTGTTGGGCTTAGAATGCTCAAGATAATCTCCTGTGGATTCTACCGCAGGCTGTTGAAGGAGAAAAGTTTGCTCTAACCTCTAAAGACCGTCCACATCCGCGACGCGCGGATGTCTGTGGCTCCCCTGTGAAACCCAAAACCGGCACTTGGCAAAGCGCCGCAGCAGTTTCAAAGTTAAGCCAACTCCCCGTAACACACAAAGCCAGCTCCTTCTTTTGTAAAGCCATAACCTGTTAAGCGAGATGTCCTACTTACCAGGGCATCTGCATGTTCGAAGTTGGCTCAACTCCTGTGGGCCCGGACGGTTAAACATCCTATCAGAATCCGCGCAAAAATGGGAGTTTCCCGAAGTAGGGATCCCCTAATCTAAAGACCTGACTAATAGGGCTCCTTTCAAAAAAGGAGCCCACTATTTTCGGAAACTCCCTTAAACCCTGTGATCGACACAGTCATCTAACTTCACATGACAAGGAAAATCCTCCCTGTGCCACTGTCACGCACCACGGTGGGGTTCAACGGGATGGTCGAGCAGTTCAGAAGGCCTGCATGGACGCCGACCTGGTAGTCACACTCGATGTTTGGCCTGTGCAGAACTTTAACTCACTTCAACTCAGCTCAACCCTGCAGGCCCAGAAAAGGGCACTCCAGAAAAGCAGGGGGTGCAACGGTTGAGGATTGCGAAAACTTGACATCCTACGCAGTTACCTTCTGAACACCAAAACATGCGCGAAACTGTCATGTGCATGTTTTCCTTTCGCATGCTTGCACCATGGCCTGTTCGCTGAGAAACGAGACTCGTCACACCAATCCCCCATGTCCTCACACATGTTGCACGTTGGAATGTGGTGGACGGTCCCCATGCTTCCTGGGCTTCGCAAGTATGTTGGAGGTTTACTTACATTGCAACACGGTAGCAAGAACACAAATACTTGCAACTGTTGTAGCGGCAACAACATGTACGAAAGCGACAAGAGCTGCAACCATGACGATGATCACAAGGATCAGACAAATCATGGCTTCAAAGAAGGCTACGACAAAATCCAGGATGAAAAGCGTGACAGAGCCGACGGCAGTGCTGATTCAGAACAGCATCAGATGTAGAAACAAATATACAGGGTTATTCAGGGACTGAGTATAGGCTATAACCTCTATAAATTTTCTTATATTTCTTTTTAGTCACGCAACAGATGAGCTATAGTCTAAACTGACTGTATAGCTCTTATTGACTGTGGTCAACAATAGGATCCCTCCCATATATAATACCCTAACTATATCCTCTCTCTAAGGAGTTTAGTCACCAGTTCATATACTTTACGAGAAATGGCAGATCCCCAAAAGTGAACAACTCTACCCTAATCCTCAGAACTAAAACGGACCTTGTGTTGATGCGCCAGTTTGGGGTTAGGGTCTTAGGGTCTGAGGTTCAAGCTTTCTGGCTTTAGCCTTCCTTTTTTTTTCCGGGTTTTGAGGTGTGTAGGGCTTTGGGTTTTAGGGGCTTTATGGTTTAGGGTTGCAACGCATAGCCACCACCCAGGCATAAAGCTCCGCCACTCTTGAGCCGAGCGTCGTGGACATGCCTCAGATGCAAGTCTTGCTCTGTCAGAAAGCATGCGGTTTTCGGATATGTTTCTTGATTTCGCAAAGCTTCGCCCTGAAGAGGGGCGCTTGGGGCAAGACCGCTAAGATGTGCTTTCGTTGCACACCTTTTCGGCCAAACGCCCACGACTTTGCAAGGTATGTGGGTAGTTCTCAAAAAATGGGGGGTCCCCTAACTTTGAGATAGACCCTTGTCGTTTAAGCTGCTATCCCGTGCTGCAGGACGAGCAGGGGTGCAGGGTTGGGGATGCGCTTTCTGCAGACGTAAAACACCAATGCATTGTTAGTGTGGCCAATTGCTTGATTTAAACTCAAACACAAGAACCTGCTGTTCACATATTGAAACAAACCGATGCATTCTGTGCCCAAGAAGCTAGGCTGATCGGATCCATCGCACAGCCAGCCTGGCACGCCGTTGCATCGGCGACGCCAAAGTTGCACTTCGGGTCACTTGTCTTGTCTCCACAGCTCCAACACACGGGATAGGAAGTCCCGTCCAAGTCATAGGTGCAGTTATATGGCCATGAAGGAGGTCGGAGCTCACACCTCTCATGGCATGTGGCTTCCGTCGCACCGCGAGCACGCATGGCGCAAGCTTGAGCACAAGAGAAATATCCAAAGCTGCCCTTCGGAACGTCATGAGATAGCTCGTTGCAGCAGTAGCCCAAGGACTTGCATTTCTGCATGCACGCGCCAATCTGCGAATCAACACTCGAGGAGCTGCTTGAAAGCACATAGACACCTGGCATGGGGGATGAAGTTTCTGACCGAAGTACAGCACCATGGTTCAAGCCTTATGAGAACCTCCTCTAACCTCCACATGCCCGAGGTTTTCATGTGATAAGGCCTGCAAGGACTTCCCCCTACAGCGCCTCCAGGACCACCAGCCTCCTGTGAGACGTGCATGACCGTGGGGGAGCTGGGCAGCCGGTCACAGCCGTAGTCGCTCAAAGGCACGCCCACCTCCGCGGAATGCTCATGCGTCTGCAGGTCCCTACGGGTCCACGCTCCTATGCAACTCTTGTCAATTTACAGGACCAGCTCGAGACATGTCTGCAGAAAATCGACAAAGACCGCAGAGCAAGCAGAAAAGGGTTTAAGCTGAAGAGAGCTTTTCAGAAGTCACAAGAATCGAGTAGCCGACCTGGTAGTCGCAGAAGATGTCTGTCGTCACAGCATCGTAGGTAAAGGCCGATTGAGCGCACCAGTCTGGGCCACACTGAGTGCAGTCCGTGACCGGGTGGATGAGACCCTTACTTCCTTGGTTGTCATGTTTGGGAATCTCCAAAGATAAGGGGCCCTAAAATAGATCCTCCATGTGTTGAATTCCGTATATAAAGGACGGGAAACCCCCCTATCCCATGTTCACCCCACGTCTATGACAGCAGTCGGCCGGTTACAGGGTCCTACTTCGGAGCTCCAGAGCATAGGAGAACTGATCCAAGCGTCGGTGACACTTTTCCGTCACATAAATCTTGCCGCTATAAGAGTCTCTGACGATGTCCTTGCTTCTCTCAAAACTCAGGAGCCAAAAATCTAAGCAAGAATCAAACTCTTCTGATGTCAGCATACAGGGACCAACAAAAACAAGCTGTGAACTCACTGGGCTGCATCCTAAGCTTCATTTGCAACTTGTGCGTTGTCAGAGAGCCTCTTAGCGAGCCTGCTGCAACCCCAGGCGCTGAGAGCGCTGCCAACGGTAAACTTGCGCTCAACGCAGGCATTGTCCTCCCTGAAGTCTGCGGAATTGCACCAAGAGCCGCCGCACTCAGTGCAGGTGGAGACGTAGTGGATGATGGGCTTTGCTCCTATGCTCCGAGAACCCAATATAGGGGCCTTAATAAATAGAAGAAGGTTTTGGAGCCCACTTATACTATACTTATAATAAGGAACCCCCAAAACCAATATAGGTAATCATTAAGGCCGCTATATATTACTTCTGTATCCGCCATCTGAAATCACCGAACCCCCAGGGCGCCACCCGGTGGAAGGCTCGCTAAGCTCCTAGCGGGTTCACTTTCGGAGGATGGCTTTTGCTGTTGTCGTTTGGGGGTGTCCGAAAATAATGGGTACCTTGTGTTGGGGGTCCTTATAAGAAGGATCCTACACTATTTAGGTTACAATATTGGAGTCCCCAATATTGGGGTCCCCTATTTTCCGAAACACCCATTTAAAGGCCAGAACCGAGCGTCCGTTGAAGCGGCAGTCCACATATTGCCTGCGGTAGGCCAGCGTCGCCTGCTGCTCTAGCTTGGCCAGCTTCGCCTGCACGCTGTACTTCAGATTGTTAAACTGCTGCTTCCGCCAAGTGTACGATGGCCTCGATTTAATGGCATCGGGGCTGTCGCAGCCTCCGGGAATTTCCTCACTTTCCACCCAACCTCGTCTGGGGACATTGCTACCGCCGCAGCACTCCTCCTCAACTTTCCATTCTTCACCTGCCCAATGGTCAAAGAAGGTGACCCTGCATACGGCCCGGCGGCGGTTATGATAGCCTGCCGGGGTCTCCTCGAAGCGATCGCGCCGTTGCTTGTAAGCTTGAACCATCTTCAGCACGTGATTCTCCCTGTAGTAGTGCATGCCCCTGGGCACTTGCATCGCGGCATCATCGGGGAAGTGGCGCACGTACTCGGCTACAAAGGCCCAGTGCATGCTCATGTACTTGATGGAGATTTCTGGGCCTCCCCAGTGAAGCCAGTCATTACAGGTCGGGTTTGGAGAATCCAGTGTGTTGACGTGGCAGTCTCCCAGGGCCGTGATAGCTAAATGATAGAGCCTGGTGAGCTGCCCGAACAACCAGGTGTGGTATTTGTCCCGGTCTTTTTGTGATGGCCTGGCAAGGTAGGGGCTGTTGTGCGCGTGGTCTGAAATCGTTGACTTCATTTGGTTCCTGATGTGTATCATCCTCTCGCTCACGCTTTGTTGGGCGATCATGTTTTGAACCTCCTCCCGCATCTCCTGTGCAAACTCTTGGAGCATGTCGCTTACAACCTCCTCTGTGGAGGGTTGCTCTTCCTCCCAGCCCATTGCCGTGAAGAGGAATCCGGCAGCCACACCAGCGACCACACCGGCAAACGGGTTCATAACTCCCAGAGCGGCCACCCCCATGTTCACGACCATCTTCCCAGTCGCCGCCTCCCATGGCATCGGAGTCCTTTTCCACAGCTGCTGCCAGTAAGTCTCCCAATCCCTCATAGCCAGCATCTTCTATCGCAGAGTAGTCCCTGGGCTCGCGCTGCGGAGAGTTCAAGTCCAAGGCGCGGGATGAGCCGGCCGAGCGCTCGCTGAAGTTGGCCCGGGCTTGGAGAGTGGCAAGCTCATCCTGCTGGAAGCAGGTGCCGTCTGAAGCTGAGCAGTTTTGGGCCAGCGCCAGGCAAGCCAGCGAAAGGACGGAGAGTCCGCGCAGCATCGGTTGGGACGGTGTCACGGCGTGGGTTGCGTAACGAGCCACAAAACTGCGGAGTTTGAGTGAGCACACGATACGTTTAGCCTGGTTCGGCGAGCGATTGCACTCAACGCAACAAGGCGAACGGCCTCAGGAGTTGCAGCAACACGTGTTTTAGTTGTACTATTCCTTTGCAATCCCCCTTTTGCATGCGCCCATTGCATGACAGGTCCTTGCTCTTCACTGCTTGAAGGCTCAAGAGACTCATTACATTGAAGCCATTTAGTAGGGTGTAAGTAGGGTTATAAGTCATTTCGATTTCCACTCACTTCTTGTCGCTTCGCACGAGCGCGCGCCAGCCGGTGGTCTTCCTCGGAGGGAACTCCAAAACAGCAGAAATTCAGGAGTATATTCCGGAAAGAAGAGCCTAAAGGGGTCCTTAAGGCACCGGTACTTGGAGGATCTTGGAGTGGGGCTGAGCCTAGGTCAAAAAATCTCGGATCTGGGTGGCACTGTTGGGTGCTGGGGTGTTGGGGAGCCCGAAGAATTTCATGGAAAGAAGCTGCGCTTTGGATGAACATCTCTGTCCACAGCTCGGCGATGCGCATTTGGGAAACCTGGTCAAAGATTACACCAAGCATGCTGTCGCCGCGGGACTAGTCTTGTGACTTTTTATCGGCACCTGTGTGTGTGTGTGTGCGAGTGCATGTGAGTTTGTTTTTTTTATGCTCCGTTGTCTTGCTGGCTGCTCATACATCATACTCCAGCTATGAACAATGAGAAGTCCTGAAAGAAGAGGACGTTGCCTCAGACCCAAAAATGCCTGCCCTCGAAGGCTTTCGGGTTTAGGTTTTTGGGGCCACCATACCCCGAGATTGATTTGACAAATCGCCGGATCACCTGGACTGTACTCGAGACTCCGAGATGTCTCTCAAAGCATAGCCCAAACCCCAAACGTCGTTCATAAACACCGGAAGCAAATTCTGAGCTGTAAGGCTCTAGACACTCCTCTCAAACTCTAAATCCAAGCCCCAGTCTCAAACCTGTAGCAAGATGCCTTGCTTGCAATCGCCGACACATCCTAAGCACATCGAAGCCATCCTTCACAGCGCACGTAACGCAGACACTGCACCGCCAACATGCAAACACTCTTGCACAGGCACCCTGAAAGACTTCGACAAAAGGGCACCCTTGAGACCGGGTTCTTCAAATCTGTTCGAGCACACCTCCTAGTTGAAGCCCTTAGCATCCCCTAAAAAGGGACCCCACACGACGGATTTTCTGGAACTTCCGATGCCAAGCGTTTGGCGTGCGGTGGGCGAGTGCTCGGGACCTTGTCCGTGCCATACCTCACAAAGTTAAGGCTTCGGGCGTATTCCGGTCTATGATTTAGACTCAGGGCGCTCCAAGCAAACCCCGGATGTAAGTTCCCTTTAGGTGGGAGCCCCCATCGCCCTCAGGAAGCCCGGAGACTCCAATTTTCCCTGCGCAGAGGAGGGTCTCTTGTTAACGAGGGTCGTACTGTTTTGAGGACACAAAACAAGGGATACTAGCGTTAACTGGTAATCCTGATCCTCATAACGTATCGCCCCTGAGCCCCTTCGAGAGCTCGGCTCCAGCGTGACACTCTCGAGGATCTCGCCACCTCTTTTCGGCGACGTGCAAAGCCAGAATTGAAAGAAGGCTCTGTTAATACGATCACATTATCGGGCTTGCTTGCTTGCTTGCTTGCTTGCTTGCTTGCTTGCTTGCATGCAAGGCTTGGAAGATCCTTCACAAGAGGTTTTAGGCTTTGTGAGGTCCGGCCTGTTTCGGTTTGTTGTTTCCGCTTTCCCCTTCGAGATTTCTGAATCTAGAGTTGGAGATCGGCCTGGAGATGGACAAGGAATGTCGAGATTCTGAAAGAAGGCCCACAACACAAGCCGAGTGTAAATGTCGCGGTTCCTCGCACAGAAGAGGAGGCCGTAGCTTAGACACAGCTCTTTTGAGGAAGATGCGCAATGTAAGCCATGACTTTGAGGACTCGCCAGTGTTACGTGTTTCGTCCTTACGGCTTGCCTGGCCTTCGGCCGTCCCCCTCGCGCGCTGCGGGGCGCGCCGTGTCGTCGCAGAAACGCCTGGGCGAAATCGTACAGAAAAGGTTTTAGGGGATGCTTTCTTCAAGAGTTTCTGGGAAAGGGGGGAGGCATGGACAAAGAAGGAAAGGACAGGGTCCCGCTTCAGAGAGCTGTCGTAGCGAAGTACTTGTCGCCAGAAGCTTCGAACCTGCAACGGTGCTTCGACCACCCCCAAAAAAGTCCCTCTCCAATGCACGCAACCTTTGCTCTGCCAGATGCTCATCAGCTGCAGGACCGGAACGAGTCAAGGAAGGTTTGACCGGACCAAGTCTGTACAAAGGTCCCCCGGGAGCGCTGCTTTAGCTCGGTGCCGATCTGTACAAAGGCACGGACGGAAGGCAGGACGGATCAGTTTTCATGAGGGCGCAAGTCGCCGCTCATTCAAAAGATTCGTCAAATTGTGCTAGGCTCCGGCCTGTGCCAGTTGAAGCGGCAGCTTCGAAGTCGCCAAATCCAGCAGAATCCTGCTCGCTAGGCTGACGCCTCCACAAGCACTCAAGGCCCTGGCGCAATTCATGGCATGCTCTTTGAAAGATGGATCTTGCGCCACTTTCGTCAAGGCATCTGCAGCGGTCTTCCTGTATGCCGCTCTATCTGCCTGAGCATGCTCCAGGGGTCGCATGGGTCGATCCACCTTGAGACCGATGTGCAAAGACTCAGCTTTCGCTGCGTTCACCGGCTGATCGGCAAAGCCTGGGCAAACCACTAGGGGAACCCCCATGGACAAGGCTTCTGTGAAGCTATTCTGCCCCCCATGGGTCAGGAAGACGTCCACTCCAAGTCTGAGCAAATCCACCTGTGGAAGGGTAGGGCTGCAGAAGGCATTTGGAGGTACCTTCAATCCCTCCAGGGCATCTGCTTGGGGACCGAGTGCTGCAAGAATCAAGGGCGACTGCGTTGAGCTTGGGTCCCACTGGCCGAAAACATCAAAGGCTGCCTGCCACGCTGCCTGACAGAGTTCCCGACCGGAAATGCCTACCTGCTGCCCATCCACAACGAAGCGAGCACCCCAGCCATAGTCAGCATGATCACCAGTGATGATGGTTCCAAGACTCACCAGGACCAACGGTCGACCTTCCGCCCTTGCATCACGAGCCAAGTTGAGGGCCGTCGCGTCGGTATCAGCGCCCGAATGCATGGCAGCATCCAGCTTGTGACCGCCTGCGCGTTTGGCACCGGGCTTGTCCAGCATAGGGCCAAGGTAGACGAAGTCGTGGCCGGTGTATGCCTTAGACACCTCTGGGGACATTGGATCCGCCAAGAATTCGGCAGTGGTCACCAGCGTCAGAGTGGACATCAGGCAGCTTCTAAAGACTCCCAAAGGTTTCACCCCATCTTCCACCGCGAGGTGAAGGCCGTAGGTCTTCTTCAGACGTTCTATGCAATCTTGTAGTCCTGAAGAGGGGAACGGGCCTAACAGGCATGCAGAACCCGCTGGGAAATTGATTTGTGGACTGTGTCTCTTTATCAACTGCATATCCATGGTGCTGCTAAGTCACACACAGCCGAGACACCTCTAGTTCCATTAGTTTGGCAGTGTCAGCTTCCGATGGTGTTATCCCTTAGCGTCCTTGAAACTCACGTCTTTCCTGCAAGACCTTCTCCGCACTGGTGCCCAGAGCCTGCAAGACACCGCCCCAAGCGACTTCCTGTCCACCAGGCCCTGCAACGGTCAACAAGGACACACAGGGAATCCCTGCCACCCTTGCTGCCAGTGGGGCTTCCAAGTTGATCAGCGGATCGCACAGCACTGCCTGAGCCTTGATCTTCTCAAGCCATCGAAGAGTACCAGGAAGCATCAGCTCTACTGCCAGCTCCCTCAGTTTCAATCTGGCCTGGGACAGGCTTTCGCCCTTCATGCCATGCTCCTCCTGCAAGGATCCCAGGGCACCCCACATCGAGGGAGCTCTGCCAGCGTACAGCTCGGGTTGAGTCTCAATGTCGCTGTGGAACACGGCGCCAGTATCCTCAATCGCCTCACGCATCTGTTCCCGACAGAGGTAGTGCACCTCGTGCCCCTGCTGAACAAGGAACCGAGCAATGGCTAAAGATGGGTTGATGTGACCCGCCGCCA